CAATAATAAAGTATAGTTTTATTGTAGAATTGGCATTCGTTAAATACCAGGCATTCGTTTTATAATAAGTAAATCACAATAATAAAGTATAGTTTTATTGTAGAATTGGCATTCGTTAAATACCAGGCATTCGTTTTATAATAAGTAAATCACAATAATAAAGTATAGTTTTATTGTAGAATTGGCATTCGTTAAATACCAGGCATTCGTTTTATAATAAGTAAATCACAATAATAAAGTATAGTTTTATTGTAGAATTGGCATTCGTTAATTTTATTTTTAGTATATAATGTTCAACAATACAATATATATGCTTACATTATATTATCTTACAATAATACAATACAGTTTTATTTATATAGAATTGGCATTCGTTAATTTTATTGAATCCTATTTAGTATTGTTATAGTTTGCACATCATACGTCCAGACTTCACGCAAAATCTGCTTTTTTTCTCTTTTTTTAAATTATTTCTTTTAATATTCTTATTCTAAAACCTAAGCAGGCGCCGTGTCTATAATGACTTGGAGTATAATTCGTTATCTTGTCTTGAAAAGCTGACCTCCAAGGCTCCGCTATAGGATCTGGTTCATAAGGTTCATAATCTTGCACCTCCTTCCTCAAGTGATCATATTTGAAACTTTGCTTACTCCGTGCATTGTAAAACCTTTGAGAACCCAAGTCATTGTGTTCGATTAGAAGCGCTGGATGGTCACTTTCCTCTATTTGTGTGTAAGGAAAAGAACAGAATTGTAATATTTAATTTAGTTTACATATCTGATTTTATATGTGCTACTCAATGTTTTATATGTGCTAATTGATTGCACTTACTGTCTGTTACTGCCAAATCTCCATAACCGAATATGTTACGCTGTTTAGCAAAGTTCTTCAGCTGGGATTGCATACGGTTTAAGACCGTATGCAATTCCAGCTGAAGAAATCCCAATTATAAAAGTATCCAGCTGAAGAAATCCCAGTTATAAAAGTATACCGGTCTTCTTTTCGCTTTACCCTGCAAATAAGCGCTATAATTTAGATAATATTCAGATATAATCAAGAAATATACTTATAAAACAATAAATAAAGAAATACAGAGGTTTTATTTTCTATAATAAGATGTTTAAATACAACGTTTTTCTTTAGTTATACCCTTTCTTATTCTAACGAATACATTATTTTTCCCGTATATAATATTTGATATAATCATTTCTTACTATCTAAAATCGCGTACTTAGACTACGCTTTAGTATAGGTCTTGGGAGTCCGTAAGATATACGTGGTTCTTCATTGTATATCCTGACCGATGGTCGTTTTATTTTCCTCTTTTTATTTTTTATAATTATATATGTTACAATGGCTATTTGATTATTGTTATGATTCCGCTTGTAGCCATTGGATAAACAAATTGTTTTTGAGCAAAGAAGTTCTGTTCGTGGTCTTGTAGATTATTATTTAATTCTTCTAGTTTATTTTTTAATTTTATTAGTTCGATGTAGCGTTACGTTTTCTAGTGTGTCGTTATCATGCGTCTTATATATCTGTAGAAACGTGATATTTATTTCTGGTAAATAGGTTTCTATATTTGTTTCGTATACTGTTTTTATTGACTGTATCGTCGTATCTATTGTCGTTAATTTACATTTTCCTTTTAATGTAATTTTTCCTGCATTTTTAATTATTCCTTTGTGTTCGTGTCGATTATCGCATTGTATCGTTATCTGTTGGTCGGTCGCGGTCGCATATAACCAAGTGTGCGGTTGTCGTAGTGTTGTCCAGATCGCATTTTTCGAGCTTATCAATTGTGTGTTACAATTGTGTTGTCGTGATAGTGTATACATTTGTATTTCGCACGGTGCGTTTTGATTCATGCGATATATCGGTATCGTATTTTCACACGTATATTTGGAATTTATTTCTATACAATTTTTTAAATCGCTTTCCGTTATTCTAAGATAAGTTAATTTTTCCTTATCTATTGCAATTATTTTATTATTTATTTCGGTTACGGTAAATATGTTATTATTCATCGGTACGGGAAATGTAATTATATTTATAATATCGTAACTTGGTTGTGTAATTAATGGGAATCGCAATATGGTATAAACACTTCTTTTATCGTAAAACGCGCTTATTTTGATATATTTTTCTATCGCTAGCCAATCTTCCGCGTGAACTTTGAACGGGATTTTCCAATTTCGTCTCGCTCTCGAACAAACAGCGTCGCGGTCACCCGCTCATGCGTGATCGCATTCTTCTTCGAATGAAAAACTGTGACAAACAGCAAGTTCTCGAAGGTTCGAAATCAGAAAAACTTGTTATTCAGATCGGCAGAGCGCGAGTTTCCGCGGTCGGTCGATTTAGTCTGCCTACGACAACGATTCGAGCCGGTCGAAATTCATCGACTTTTCGCATTCGCATTTCGCTGATTCTCGCTCGTGTCGCGTACGCAGTAGGCTTACTCGTCTCAAATCGGTCCGAATTGTCTCGCATACGATCGCAGTCATAGTCTCGCGGCGGTCAATTCGGTCACATCTCAACTCGTATTCTTTAATTAATTAGTGCTAAGACATCGTGAAAGTTAATTGTTAAGAGTGTGGAGTCCGAGAGTCGACGCGCGTTAACCGTTACGCGAATGTCCTCTGCCTCGCGCCAAGCAACATCTGGCCTCCGCGTGCAAGATATCCGTTCTCGCGAGAACCTCTAGCAAGAAGCTCTGCAAGATTTCCGACACGCGTCGAAGGCAGTCAGTAAAAGGACATTTTGAAGATTTCCGTCAGAATCGCGAAGTACGTGCCGTCGCTCGTTCCTATAATTCAAAATAAAACGAATAATTAAAACAATCTGCACTCGACTCTTTTCTCAATCTCCTTATCCTCCAGCGAATCTACGGATTCGCGTTACACACCGCTTCTTGCTCATCTCTGAGCGTCTCTCTCTCAGTTTCGGGCAATCTCGTCGAGGTCGACTCCCGAAGAAATATGATGAGTCCGTTTCATATAACTCCGTGAGATCCTCGGATCGTCGGCTGTTCCAGCTGACGAGCATCCTGTAATATTATATACTTTAGTTATATTTCTCGCGATGATATCCCGCGAGTGTCATTGTTATCGGTTAGTATCTTTTTTCTGAGATGATTTTTCTGCATGTTTTTCGACGGATCATTTCGTTCAGTGTTCAGTCTCCTATTGACATTCGTACGGTGACATACTCATTGTCAGTAGCGAGTCTTATAATTATTGTTTTTTTTAATGGAGTCTTAAAATTTTTGTTTCTGGTGTTTGAAGTCTGTGTCCAACTCGTCTGACTTAGTATGCAGGGCGTGCAATGATTTTACTTTGTGCGGCCCTGCTTTGCCGCGCGATCCGTTCGAGCGGGCTTGTGAGGCCGTATATCGAAGTACGGAGCCCTTTTTGATCCAGATTTCTGTGGATTGTGTGAGTGGTCGTCGTACTGTGAGTGAAGTGGTACCACATCCTTGGCATAGTTTGCCGTTATTTTAGACGGCGATGGATATCTGCCGTTTTGCGCATGTGGGTACTTTCCGCAATTTGAGGATCTCTCGGGCGTTGGACCCCGCTCGACTTCCCTTGGGCCCTGGTCTTAATCGCCAGAATCAGTTCGAGCGGATGGTGGAATTCGGCGGGGGTCATCCTTCTGGAGGTCAAGGTTGGACGAGCTTGGTGACCCTTCGTTGTGCTCTCGATTGTATGCGTTATCCTGGTCGTTCCCGCAACGAGTAGGGTAAGTATTCCTCTTAATTTTCAATAAACTGCTTCAGCTTATTTGTGTGCATGCGGATTGCTTTTCTCCCCTTTTTTATCGTGTAATTTACGTCTGAATTCTTTTCAATTATTATATACGGTCCGATCCATAAAGATTCGAGTTTTTTAGATCGTCCGCGTCAGAGTGTCTCGTCGTACACTAATACTTTGTCACCAACTTTAAATTTTATTTCTCTAGTATTTTTATCGTATTGTTGTTTAGCTATAATTTTTTCTTCTTTAACATGCGCTTTTTCGAGCTGATTTGTTGCCCGTAGCCTTTCTTTTAATTCTTGCGCGTAATCGTCATAATTATATGTCGGCTTAGGCGGTCTCGTCAGTGCCGTGGGTAGATCGACTTGGTGCCCGTAGACTAATTCAAAGGGTGTATATCCCGTAGCTGTGTGTGGCGTCGTGTTATACGTGAACATTGCGAAGGGTATCCGTTCGTCCCAGTCTGTCTGGTCTTCGTTTATATAATGTCTTAAAAATTCGGCTAATGTTCGATGCAATCGTTCTAACGCGCTATTACTTTCCGGGTGGTAGGCGGTTGTCTGTATTTTATTTATTTTTAATAATTTACATGTATTTTTAAATATTTCGCTTAGGAAATTTGTGCCTTGATCCGTTAAAATTTTTTTCGGGATTCCATGTTCGAGAACAATTTTTGTAACGAATTCTTTACTGACCGTGTTCGCTTCTTGATTTGGAATCGGTATCGCTTTACTGAATTTTGTTAAATTGTCTTAAAATGTTAATAGATATTTATTTCCGTTGGTCGTTATTGTTAACGGTCCTACGATATCTAACACGCATTTTTCGAAAGGTTTTGTCGGTGTATCCATGATTATTAACGTGTACAATATAACCAAGTACAGCCTTGGCCCCAGGTAGAGGTGGGAGCCGGTGCAACCCAGCGGGGTCGAGGGCAACCTCGACTCCAGGAGCGGTGTAGGCAGGAGCCGGTTCAACCCGGCGGGGTCGAGGGCAACCTCGACTCCAGGTAGAGCGTGTCGGTACAACCCGACGGAGCTGAGTTCAGCCTCAGCCCCAAGAGGTAGTAGGTATTGGTGAGATCGGTATCAGGAGCTGATCGGGATAGGATCTGGTCCCGATGTCTCGGCCGGCCGGGCTTATATACTCGGCCGGCGGCCCCCACTGTGCGCCGTCGGTCCGGCGGTGGGAGTCGGTACCGCGTGGGGACCCCGCGAAAGAGATAGAGCGTGCCGGTAAGCGAGAGCGCATGCTGAGCGAGATAGCGCGTGTCGAGAGGAAGAACGTATGCGTGCGGCAAGCAAGATGGCCGTAGTAACGGTCCTACCATTACAACTCACTTTATTCTGTCCTCCCACGTGACCAATCGTCCGGTCCCAACGACATTGTCTATCTCATTCTGGACTTTCTTCATAACTTTGGGATTATGCATCAAGTACTTAATAGCGTGGGTAACGGCGCTTGGTAACGCGGAGAAAGCGGGGAACATCATATCGACTAGCAAAATGATCAGTTGCTCTTCCGTAAAATAATGCGACTTGTCATCTTCATTTAACTTTTTCAGATAATTATCGACGAATCCCCGATTGACGTTCTCGCTGAGAGTAGCTTTTTGACGCTCCAAACCTTTCTATAAAATCATAGTATAAAACGTATAAAACATGTGATTGTATCTTTCTAAATAATAAGGAGATTTTTCTGTTTATTTTATACGCGATATATAAATTTTATACTTAGCAATTTTAGTAAACTCGAAACAGCTATAGTTTCGCAAAATGGTTAGATATAAATTTTATATATCCCGTTGATATAAAATATATCTAAATAAAATATATGAGCCAATTGTATGCACACAAACGTACACACATAAGTCTGCTGTCTCTTTTCAGTAGTATAAAAAAATTCTGAGAAATTATTAGAGTATTTAAACATGAAATTTTGAAAATTTATGTAGCGATTCAAGCGCGCATTTAAATCAGAACTAGATTTTATGTCACACGTAATTGTATTCGTTCGACAAAGAACTCTACCTTGACAACATCTACCATTGCGTAATTTCCTTTTATATGATTTTTATAGCCAAACATATTGCCAAAGTATTTCAAGAACGGACGTTGAAAGAGCGCGCCGCCGCTTGGATCGTTCGCTCTTTGCATCATTAAGGCCGAGCGACAGAGATGTCTCGGGATGGCCGGCCGGGCTTATATACCCGGCCGGCGGCCCCCACTGTGCGCCGTCGGTCCGGCGGTGGGATTCGGTACCGCGTGGGGACCCCGCAAGAGAGATAGAGCGTACTGGTGAGCGAGAGCGCATGCTAAGCGAGATAGTGCATGTCTAGAGTGGAAGATCGTATTATTAATTGGGAGCAGAAGAGGGGGCTGCTTAGGCGTAGTGGTTTAGGATGGACTACTCGAGGAGGCTTCCATTCATACTGGTGA